CGGGAGCAACACCGAGGCTTGCAATCCCGTTGCCGGTCCCCGGTCCGGTACGGGGGCAACACTGAGGGTTGCGATCCGTTGCCGGACACGGAAAAAAGACAAAAAAAAAAAAAAAAAACCAAAAAACTGTGTTGATGGACATACACTGTATAAAGATGTAATTTGTATGACAATAACAGTATGAAGTAGGAGAGAGAGAATGGACCACATAAAGGTTTTTATATACTACTGATATTCAGTTAATATTAATCCAAACTGGACTGTTATAAATTAAGATGTCAGTTGTGATCCACAGGGCAACCACTTGAAAGTAACAACAACAGAAAAATACATAGTAAATGAAACAAAAAGGTTATTGAAAAGGTACACTACGGGCCGGCCCCGTGGTGCACTCGGGAGAGTGCGGCGCTGAGAGTGCAGCAACGCTCCCGCCGCGGGTTCAGATCCTATATGGGAGTGGCCGGTGCGCTTGCTGGCTGAGCGCGGTGCGGGCGACACCACACCAAGGGTTGCAATCCCCTTACCGGTCACGAAAAAGACAAAAAAAAAAAAAAAGAAAAGGTACACTAGAAAAAATCTATTTAACACAAAAGAAGGCAGCAATGGAGGAATAAAGGAACAAGAAGATATAAGGCATGTAGTAAACACAGCAAAATGGCAAAATGGCAGATGTAAATCCTACTTATCAGGTAATTAAATGTAAATAGGTTGTATATTCCAATCAAAATATGGAGATTGGCATTGTAGATAAACCAACATCATCCAATTGTATAATGTCCACAACATACATACTTTAGATTCAAAGACACAAATAGGTTGAAAGTAAAAGGATTGGAAAAGATAGACCATGCCAACAGTAACAAAAAGAGAGAAGGTATGGCTATACTAATATCAGACAACACAGACTTTAAGACAAAAATAGTTACAGAGACAAAGAAAGGTATTTTATAAGATAAAAGGGTCAATCCATTAAAAACATATAATAATTATAAACATACATGGACCTATCAACAGAGCCCAAAAATATATAAAGCCAATAAACAATTCAACAGTAATAGTTGGAGACCTCATAACTCTCTTTCAATAATGATAGAACAGCAAAACAGAAGATAAACAAGGAAATGGAAGACTTGGACAATGCTACAAACCAACTAGACACAACAAATATCTGTAGAACACTCTGCCCAACAACAACAGAACACATATTCTTCTCAAGTGCACAAAGAACATTCTCCAGGATAGACTATATGTTAGGCAATAAAACAAATCTCAATGAATTTAAAAATATTAAAGTTATACAAAGTATGTTCTGTCATAAGAGAAA